GCTGTCGTACATGCACAGCTTTATAGTACGTATATGTTATGTGAGCGCGCGTGAGAAACATTCTTAGAGCATCGGCGCGGCGACAGATCACGAGCAGGCGGCCAGGCGCGTTTTGACGGATATCAACTTGGATATCAAAAAATTGAAGCAAACACCTGTCACCGGACACCCGCCTCTCGGTCTCGCCACACATAGCACATTCGGCGATTTTTTTCTGAATTATGTACATACGTACTCTCTAGCGTTGGCCGTTGCCCACGATCCGAATTGGGTTGCTTGGGATTTTGATTCGGGTGCCCGAGGCGCGAGGCTTGGCGAGGGCACGCTCAACTATGCAGCGTGCGACACCGTGGCGAGGTCGACCTGCAGCTCCTTTTGCAGCGGCTCGAGCCTCTCTGTCTGTCTGTCTGTCGCAACCTGCAGCACGTTGTCCGAGTCCCCAAGGTGGTTGGCGCACTGGTTGACATGTGAGCTGCCCGCGGCGAGGTCGAGCGTCAGCACGACATAGTCGGGCACGACCGACACCACGTCAACCCACCAGTACGCAGAGAGGCACATCTCGCCCACAGACCGCTTTGAGATGGTCCGCAAGATCAGCTCGACGGTGAAGGCGCCCGTTAGAGCCCAGCCGGTCAGCCAGAGCGCACAGTCGTCCAGGCTGCGCAGCCCGAATGAGTTTGTCTCGAGCAGCATCATCACCACCTGCGCAAAGATGGCCAGCGTCGCCGCCAGCGAGAAGAGGAAGGCGCCGAGCGACGACTGCCAGTCCTCGAGGAATAGCTGGAGGTGGAGCCGCCAGTCGCGGCTGTGCTTGGCGTACCGCGCCCAGGCGTAGTGCCGCGCTGCGGGCTGATAGTACTCCAAGTCGATGCGGTCGCCGCTCTGTAAGGACTCGCGCAGCCGGAGCGTGCTCGCCCGCCTCGTCTCGCCGGGCGCCTGCAGCGGCGAGCGCCGCCACTTGTAGGTGAAGGAGCCGTACGCGGCGACGCACGGCTCGCCTTTGGCTGCCGAACTCAACACGCGCCCTGATAGTCGTCCGCTGGGCGTGGCGTGGGCGAGCTCGACCATATGTGAGGAGCTCCTTCCCCGCTTATTGGACGGTGCAACTTCAGCTGTGCGAGGGTCTCGAGGTCTCGAGGTTGATTTTCGTTGGCCGAAAGACGCGCGGCGTTTGCCCCACTGGGTTGTTCTCTCGTTTTTTTTTAAATGAACTCGGGGGCACAGGACGCGGTACAAACGCGGTACACCAAAAGGCACGGGCTGCCTGCACGGCGTTCACTCGAACGCCATGCACATGGCGCGGAGCAGCATCGGGTTGGTGTCGAACCCGAGCGGGTCCTCCTCCCAGTCCCGGTGCCCACCCTCCGCGTCATCCTGCTCATCGTGCGCGTCGAGCACCCTGCCGAGGCACAGGATCGTCCCCTTGGGAACGCCTGCCCCTCGCGCGCGCGGGAACTCTCCCTGCACCGCCATCACGAGCTTCTCGCGCGCCCACTTGCCGCCACGGCGGCAGTGCTGGGGCGCACGCTCGCGCAGCTCCTCGTAGAGCTCCTCGGCCCTCGCCACCTCCGCCGCCCAGCCCTCCTTCTCTCGTTTTATCTTGGAGCACTTGGAGTGCAGTCATTAACCTCACATCCAGGGCCGGGGAGCTCAGAAGCGCACCCAGCGGGCCGGATGATCGGTGTCGGGTTACGGGCAAGAGAGCCCTAGCCCAGGGGGTGCGCGTTCGCAGGGCCATAACACGGGTCTCCGAGGGTTGGCTCCGTGTACCGGGTTTCCCCTTAACTGCAGAACGCCGCCCCTCTACTCGGAGCTAAAGAATACTCTCCGAGGGTTGGTTCTGCGCTTTGGGTTTCCCCTAGCTGCGGAACGCCCCCTCTACTCGGAGCTAGTGGACACGGACACGACACCTACTGATACGAGAATACGTACCGCCCCCACGCAACTACTCAAAGATAATACGAGAATACGCAGCTGCGAGACGCCTATAAAGAAACAGCGAGGTAAAGTTCGGCGGCTATGATAAACCGAAAGTTGTCGTAAAACGCGGGCGAAAGCAAAGCAGAGGGCGGGCGCTTTCTGCCGCAGCGATGCCCGCAGCCTGTCGAGCAGCTTCCGCGGCGCACATGCGCCGCGGGGTTGAACGACAGCCGCGCCTCTCGAGCCACCCGTGCCACGCGCGGCGACGCGCACCCTGCGCGCCAGTCGGCGCACTGGCAGCACTGCACCAGCCAGCACGGCGTGGAGCAATGCATCCAGGGCATTGTGTTGGGCGCCAACCAGCATGCCTCAGGACAGAGCAAGGGAGCATGCTGCGCACCCTGGCGCAGCGCCAGCTCGCCTCCAAACAGGCACTCTCACCTGCGTAATACATCCTCAAGTTGCTACGACCAAAAATCCGACTGGCCTCCCCCCCGGCCACTCACCATTCTCCCCTTCCCCCGCCTCCCCCGACGCCGGACTCTACCTGAACCCCCTGCTCTGCCCCCCGACAGGGGAAATGAATAGCTCTCAAAACGATGGGCTAGCCCATCCCGGCGGTGGTTCGAATCCACACAAGCCGAAGGTGACGGTGGTAAGTGTTCGGTGATCTCAGGCCCAGTGAGGTAGTGCGCCTGGGCCTCACCTGATCATGCTGAACAAGCTCCTCTTGTAGCTCGATCGGTCACACCGCCATCGCCGTCGGGGAGAGGGGAGACGACACTGCCTCGGCAGCGTGCACCTCGATCCTGTACCGTGTTTGTTATGACCCCCCCCAATGAACACACCAGTGGAGGGTGGGCGAGACGATCGAGGGGTCCAATACCATGCGGAATCGACCCTATCAAGTGCTCAAGGTAGGTAGGTAGAAAGGACACTTAGACCCGCTCAGCCTCGAGGCTCAGAACTTAGACTACTACCCAACCAGCGTGTACG